GGGGCTCCAGTGCCAAAAATTGTGTGTGTGCTTGCGTGCTCGCGATCGCATGCCAGCACCCAGAAGGCAATGTGTGCGCCCCCTCCATGCCCCCTACGTATGCATGTGCCATCCACCCTCCGCTGCCCCCTTACCTTCACTGTGCCTCACATCTGATTTTCAGCTGGTTTGAAGCCTTTTTCGGCCTCTCAAAGGCTTGAAGAAGGCTTCTGCAGGCTTTGCAGGCCGAAAACTAGCCCCGTTTCGTCTCTTCCGGTATTTTTGGAAAAACAGGAAGTGATGAAACGGGGCTAGTTTTCGGCCTGCAAAGCCTGCAGAAGCCTTCCTCAAGCCTTTGGAAGGCCGAAAAAGGCCTCAAACCAATCGAAAATCAGCTATGAGGCACGCACATGTGCAGTGAGGTAAGTTTTCCTGCAGCTCGCGTGCCGGCACAAATTGCTCTGCGTGCCACCTGTGGCATGCATGCCATAGGTTTACCATCACAGTTCTATAGAATGTATCCTTTGATCTACATTCCTACCTACCTTCTTTTAGGTGCGTTAGTGTGTATTTTCAAACCACTCCATTATTCTGACTCTGGGCAGCAAGGTAAATCAACCATAAAAGTAAACAATATGTTAATATAGTAAAACATAAATCTTCTCAAATCATCCAAGATCAACAACATGTTTAAACAGGGTGATCTTCAAAGCTTTGTGAAATGCAGGTCCAAATGTAAAGAATAAAAGAATCAAAATGGAAATGGGTTGGTCACATAGCAAGAAAAAGGTGGACCAAGGCAGTCATAGAATGGATCCCACTTGATAAAAAGTGTCCACCAAGAATCTAAAACAAGATGGATCGACAACATCAGCAAGTATTGTGGGCCCAATTGGCAAAAGAAAGCTCATGACCATATCGGTTGGAAACATGCGGAAGAGGCCTTCATCCTGTAGTGAATAGACAATGGCTAGAATGATGATGATGATTCCAAAATGTAAGGGCTATAACTACAGGTAGTCCTTGACTTATAATAGTTCATTGAGTGACCATTCAAAGTTAAAATGGTACTGAAAAAGTGACTTTTTCACTACTGAAAAAGTTACCATTTTTCACACTTATGACCATTGAAGCATCCTCTTGGTCACATGATCAAAATTCAGACACTTGGCAACTGACTCATATTTGTGACGATTACAGTGTCCCGGGGTCATGTGATCACCTTTTGAGACCTTCTGACAAGCAAAGTCAATGGAGAAGCCAGATTCACTTAGCAACTGTATCAGTAACTTTAACAATTGCAGCGATCACTTAACAACGGCGACAAGAAAGGTTGTAAAATGGAGCAAAATGCACTTAACAAGTACCTTGCTTGGCAACAGAAATTCTGGGCTCAATTATGATCGCAAGATGAGGACTACCTGTATAAAGGTCTGGCCCCTTGGGCCATACCACCTCAAAAGGGGTGGGGCCTTCAGCAGATCTTCTTTAGATTTGTGGATATGTTGATATGTTTTTGTTGTCTAACACTTCAAATGTTGTTTTCGATTTAAAGGCAGATTTTAGTTTTAAAAATTTAACAATTAAGTAATAAACTAAAAATATTCTAAGGCAGGTGTCTCCAACCTTGGCAACTTTAAGACTTGTGGATTTTATCTCCAAGAATTCTTTAGCCAGCAAAGCTGGGAGTTGAAGTCCACAAGTCTTAAAGTTGCCAAGTTGGGGGACCCCTGTTCTAAGGGAAGAGGACCAAAAAAAAATATCCCATACCAGCTGATGTATTTTGGACTGTATGTTATCACAATGGAAATATCTCTTTTAAACAAAAACAAAAGGATAATATGGATATACTGGTTGGATATTAATCGTGTATTTCTTTGCCCTAATCCCAAGGGGTGACGGCTGGCTATGGTTATTAGTGGTTTTGCCAAAAGTATCCTGACATATTATATGTAACTAATCCTTGGAAAGTGATGGGCCTTATTAAATCCCATTTAATGCCTATATAAATTAGCAAACCCCTCCACATTTATAGCAGAGAATAAAGAAATACACTTCATAACCCATAGCTGTTAAAAATCTCACATGACTAAATCCTGAGGGAGAAATAGGATAACGTGGCCATATATAGTCAACTTGAAGATACTCCATTTGTTTTGAGAAGTGTCACCTTTTTTTGTATGCAACAAGATTTGCATTTTTGTCTTATGGACTGGCATTCAGAAGGATGACGGAATTGTTAAGAATTAATTCAGAAATCGATCAGTGGAGGCAATTCCTAAGTCTTTTCATTCTAAATACAAGTTGCTAGAGAAATACTTCTCTGTGGGGCTCTCTTTCCAAATATTGATATTGCATAAGACCAAAGCTTGAGGCGGCCTAGTTAGAAATGGATAAAGTGAGCATCAAGTCCTTCTGCCACAATTTGTCAAATTTTGAACTGCCATAGTCCTGCAGCTGCCCCGAAGCGCTGCTTCTTTTCTATGTAGAAACAGCCAACAGACTGATATAAATCACTCCAGATTTTCCACCACAACAAGCTGATCTTCAATAGCCATGAGGCAGGAACTGAACCATGAAGCCGTAGACCTCCATAGCAAAGGTGCAGAGAATGCAGGAGGGGCCTTCTGTCCGGCAATGGCTCACACACATCTGCTGCTCACTTGTGATCATGATGAGCAATGAAGCATGAGCAAGCAATCTGCTTGGACATTGACACAGAAGCGTTTTTTAACCTCCAGTTTTAACCTCCCATTTTATATGTTGCAACTAATATCAACAGGTCGCTGTTTAGGAAAAATTATTGTAAACAAATCTGCACGCAACTGTTGTGTCACGTCCATAATTCAGACCAGTGAGTTGATGGACAAACAGCTTCTTGTGCAGAGATACATTGCCATCCTTAAATAGCCAAAGACAATAGAAGTTGTCTTTTCCCACAAAAATCAAGCGATATTTAAGTGAATTTCTTGAATTCACGCCTACTAAAAGAGGAAATTGGGCTGAAGCAAGGCCTAAAATCATCTAAAATTTGTCTAGCGATAATATTCAAATTTAAATAGGATTATGACGTACAATCACACCAGCGGACACTTACCAAAAAGGAATTAAGTGAATTTATTAATTTACTTATTACATGTACATGAAAATTTCTATGAAATAATGAAAGCATACTTATCTTACATTTGTAATTTAGAGTACTGTTGTACATTTATTACACATATTATTACATATATTCATAAAAAAATGGAAGCATCAGCAAGTTCAACTCAAACATGAATCATCTTGCTGCATTTTTAGGTACTGTATTAGGCTATTGAGGAAAAGTCATGATTCGGAGGCCAGGAAAGATGCAGCTGCTTTCAGGATTGATGTACTCAGGTCCATGCACCGCCAAACACTTTTTGGAAACAGAATTGGGAGCATTACACAACTGTTTTTGCCTCCGCAGCAAAAGCATACCACCTAAGCCTACAGGATTTCATGCAACCCTTGAAACTATTATGTTGCAATCCTCTCCAGACAACAGAAAATATGACTGAACATGAAAATTAATATTATGGGTAAATTAAACAAAATAAAAGATAGGTTTGGGTCCAGCTTTGGATTATGTAGTGAAGATCCTGATATCCTTGACCTAGAAAAAATGCATAACTTGCCCAATAGTAAAGTTCCTACTTCGTATCATTATTGCCACACGTTTCAGAACATTAAGACCTTAATAAGATTTGGTTTCCTTCAGAAGGAAGTCACTGGGAACCTATGTTATTTAATACATGAGTTTGTTGAATTTAATTGGAGGTATACATAAACTTTCCAGGAGTCAATTGCAGAACAGAGTGGTAGATCTGATGGAGTACAGTTCCCATAATGTGCAGCTAACACCAGAATGAAAAAAGTTGCATTCCAAAACATCTGAAGAAATCTGCTATCACAGACGGAGGGGGAAAGGGTCTGTTTTAATCAATTAAAATGATAAAGGGGATAATCTCTATAGCTGGTTTATTTATCCCATAAGCTGAGGTTTCCACTTATGAAAGGAGAAATAGCCTGCTTAGCAGATTTTAGAAATGACTGTTTCTTGGTATTAAAAAAAAAGGTACTTCTGTTGCACTTAATAGGTTTCAAAACAGTTTGTTGTATCCGCACATCTTGGTTTAGCATTTGGTACATTTCCCTCATTTCAAAAATCTCAGAGACAACAAAAAAGAGCTTGCTGGCTCTCCTAAGGCACACAATTGGCTGGATGCATCACAGGCAAACGGAATGGTCTATGACAGGGGTGTCAAACTCATGTGTCAGCAGCATCACGTGATGTATTGAGACTTTTTTCCCCCTTTCGCTAAACTGGGCATGGGTGTGGCCAATGCATCCAGCCCACAGGCCAGGAGTCTGACAGCTCTGGTTTATGATCACCTTCTTTTAGGATACTCTAAAGTAGGGGTCTCTAATTTTGGCAACTTTTAAGACTTGTGGACTTCAACTCCCAGAGTTCCTCAGCCAGTCTTAAAGTTGCCAAGTTTGAAGGAGGTTCCTGAACCAGCATGGCTGACTCCAGAATCCTGGGAATTGAAGTCCACAAGTCATAAAAGGGGCCATTGTTCCCCACCCCTGCTCTAAAGCAATGTTCTTCAACCTCAGCAACTTTGTTAGACCAACTCCTAGAATTCTCCAGCCAGTAGGCTGGAAATTGGAATCCAGACATCTTAAGGTCACTGAGCTGAGAAATAGTACCCTAAAATAAACATGTATTAAACACACACACGCAGAGGCACATACATACCACATTGTTCTTGGATTTAGACTAGACGTTTTTTCCACTCTGCCTTACTTCTTTTTACTATTTCTTACTCTGAATTTTTTTTTAATTTCCACATTTTTTTCTTTTCCATGCAGCAAAAATAAGCCTTAACGCCATGGATTTGATCGAATTATCTGTTTTCCATCCCCCTCCACTCTTCCCGAATTTGAAATGTAAAAATGTTGAAACTTCTGTGCTTTCAATTCGCATCTTGGGGGGCTTATGGCTTTGGTTCAGCAATAGCAGCCGCAGAAGGAAAGGTGTCTCTTGGATCCTCTCGGATCCCATAGTATAAATCATCCTCTTCTGCCTCCTGCAAGGCTCTGCTGCGTTCCAGAGAACCACCACCTGCTATTCTCACAATGCCATCACTTGCTGTAGGAGGAACAGAGCAACAGCTCTGGCTTGGAACCACGGTATTTTCATGGCTTTGCTCCTGGCCTTCCACCACCAGGGAATCAATCAAAGCAAAATCTTCGTAAGAAGGAAGCTTGAATTGGAGCTGGCTTCCTGTTAGAGACATGGGATTGGGGACATCTTTCCATCTCTGTAAAAATGGGCTGTTGGAAGTGGAGTCCAGGGAAGTTGTGTCCACTTCTTCTTGAAGAGATGCTAATGGTGCAGCCTTTGGAAACTTCTTAGATGGGCTGGAAGAAGAAGGGGGGAAAAAGATTCAGTGAAGGGCATTCCTTCTAAGGCTGTTTGCTGAACTGTTTTGGGTTTCCACTGAGAAGTTTACAGTAAATGAAGCAATGTGGATGTTAAGCTTGTACCAGGTTATTCGTCTAGAATGACTAATTTCCTTGTTATGAATTTGGTTTTTAGGACTAGATTTCATTACTGACCAACCCAGTCTAACATCAGCATCTTGATAAAAGAATGGGAGGAAAACTGAACTGTACTAAGCAATATATTGACTATATTGGCTTGTAAAAGATGGAAACTAGAGTGCTTCTATTTTATTCAACAAACCTTTTTTTTAGAAATTTCATCTTACCTTTAACTAGGATCAGAATATGATTTGATAATTCATCAGTTACAGCACATTAATCAGTTAGGGCAACTTTGTTCAAGTAAACTGATGTTCCCAGTGAACAAAGCAACAAAATATCCAGAGAGACTGTCTTAGAAGAAACATTACAACTTTAAAAGTACTTTCAATTAATCTAGTTATACTTCTTGTTCCAGCTTTTAGTTCCATGTCCAGTAATTTTCTGCTAATGTTTTCTGCCATCATTTCTCTATTTGGAGATGGCTAAGAATGAGAAGCAACTTGATGGCACATAATGAAAATAGCTGTATCACATCAGTCTTCAATAACATTATCAAAATCTACAATAAAGAGTCAAACCATTTTTTTCTAGATGATGATTTAATTATATCATTATCAAAATATCTACTTTTTATAAAACACATAACAGTTTTAATAATTTTAAAATAAAATTAAGTGATTGTTTGAGATGCCTTTAAGGAATATACACCGGTGACATTTTTACTTAGTGATATTTTGCTCCGTGGAAATTGGCATTTAAAACAGAATAACAGAGTTAAAAGGGACCTTGTAGGTCTTCTAGTCTAACCCACTGCTCAGGCAGGAAATCCTATACTGCTTCAGACAAATGGTTGTCCAATCTCTTCTTAAAAACTTCCAGTGTTGGAGCATTCACAACTTCTGGAGGCAATTTGTTCCACTGGTTAATTGTTCTAACTGTCAGGAAATGTCTCCTTAATTCTAGGTTGCTTTTCTCCTTGATTATTTTCCATCCATTAAAGTTAGGAATGTTTTGAGCAAGGTGATCAGAGTTACATAACATTTTAGGAGTTCTAAACAAGGGCTTAATTTCCTTTAGGCGTTTGCAACAGAATATTCATTGCATTATGTAAAGCAAAATATTGTGAGTGCGATGAAAGACCTGGTAAATTAAGAGCCTTTCACTGAAACAGTTCTAACAACGTAAAATTTATTATGAAGAAACCCCAGAGTAAAGTACATATTGATTCTGACTCTATATATCAACAATTGTTTTATTTTTACTCTCAAAACTATAAAGTTGTGTCAAAAGTAACCCAGGCGCAAAAATAATTTTATATGATACAGCTTTTCCTAACATCATACATAATGAAGCTACTTATTCAGCGGTTCCTTTATCTCTCCCGCTCCTCAGCAAAAAAGTAATAATAATAATAAAAACAACAACCACTAGACCATCACTTGAACACTGACAAAATCAACTGCAACAGGCAGCTTCACTTGGAACAACTTACATCTTATAATAATACTTTCAAAATTATTAAACAAGAACATCTACCCGACCCAGGTCTCGGGAATTACTCAATAGGTGTAGAAAAATGACAAATCCATTCTAAATATTGGCTGACTGTGTTACCAATTATAATACCTCGGTATCATTAAAACTATGAAAGTAATAAGGGTAAGCTTTTTTCTCCTAATAGAGTTGCCCATAAGGAATGAGGTGATACGCAATATAAATTAGCACTGCCAGATCTCAGCTCCATAAATCTGGACAACCCCTAGATTGTAGTTAAAAGGTTAAGGTTTCTGTATCTCTTTGCTTCCAACTATGCGTCTTTTAGATTTTTGCTGTCCGAATCCAATTGCCCTAATATAGCTAATTCAGGGTCAGCTCATATATGCTACTCACCAGTTCAGCCCTGTTGTTGCATCTCTGTTAGGATTCCCATTACTCTCGGAGTCCCTGTGTACTTCTGCTTTGGCATGTACATGTGGCTGGAGATGTCTTCCTGTCCTGACCAGTGGCACTGGGACAGGCAATGTTCCCAAGCATTCAGCAGAACTGTTTGTCTGGATCTGTTCATAAGTCGGCAGGCTTTTCTCATATATGTCAGCTTCTTTCTGGCTTGTGTATTGGGTTTGCAAACTGTGGACAAAGGAGGATAAAGTTTATTTCTAGCCATCCATCTATCCATGAATTTACTTTCAAGACAGCTAATCCCTGGACATAAAAGTGGACCTCACTCCTAATAGTATTAATATGATTTTGATCTTTAGAAGATCCTATGGAGAACATTGTGCCAAAGAAGTAACATCATGCATTGATGGGGATATTGAAATCATAATTTATTTTATTGCATTTTATTTCTCCACATGAAACTGATTAGACAGAACTGAAACTAACAAGAAGTGATATATTGATTGAGACTGGACTCCAAATAGGGCAAACAAGGTTTTATTCTACTGTCAGCCATAGAACTCACTAGGTGTCTTTGGCCAGGTAATCTTTAGTAGACCAACATAACCCACTGGATGGTTACTGTAGACACAAATCTGAGAAAAAGGTGCTCCATTGCTGGTTTGAGTTTGTGGAGGAAAGACACAATATCTAATCTAATAAAGATGGATGGATGGATGGAAGGAAGGAAGGAAGGAAGGAAGGAAGGAAGGAAGGAAGGAAGGAAGGAAGGAAGGAAGGAAGGACAGCTAAAATGAGCTGGAACAATTAACTAGAGTCTAGAGTATTGGCAACTGATCAAGAGGAAGATATAGGAGGAGGTATCTTATGCCCTTGAAGGACTGGTGTTTAGAAAAAGAATGGTTATTTTTTCAAACTAACTAAAACATACAAGAAAGAAAAAATGTGCTGAGACCACTATCACATTTTCCTTCTTCTACACTTATGAGGTATATGCTTCCTGCTCTCTTTGTGAGCAAAGCAGGTTATCTGGACTTATCAGTGATTACCAAGGAATTCTGGGAGTTGAAATCCACAAGTTCCCCACCTGGCCCCAATAACTCTTAAATCAGGGGATGCCCTCAAATGAACCCGTTGTCCTATGAAAGCTTTGCTAAGAGTGGGGTGATCCAAGTTCAGTAGGCTAGAGGGTCACTCTGATATCCTTGAGATATGCCCCTTTGCCAGTGATGTGCTCAGGGGAGGGCCATCAAGTCCTTTGTACCTGTGTTAATGTCACACACCCATACAAAGGAATAAGGTTTCAATAAAACACTTGTGAAATCTACTTGGACTTTTTTGCCTCTCTCTCCCTGAAGATACTCTCTGGCCCTTCTCATTGAATGAAAAGTTGTTCCTTGAAAAAGATGTTGACCAGTTTGAATGAAAGGCCAAGCCGATATTTTGTAGTTCAGTACAGGACATTTTTTTCCTAGTTGGAATCGGAACCCTTGTTAACTTGGTAACTTGCTTACACCGAGAATAAACCAAACATAAACTGTGGTGCATCTTTGCCAGAAGTTAGAATGGCTGCACCAAAGGGGATATTGTTCTCTAGTAGCTTATAACTCAACATGCAACTATGTTTTATGAAAAGCTTCCTTTGTTAAGAGACTTCAATTAAGAAGGACGGATGAATGACTTAGACTAATTCACAGCAAATGACATTCAGATCTTAAATCAGGAAAACAATTCTTTACAGAGTTTTCATAAAAATGAACCAATTTCAGAAAAGCGAATCTTCTGTTTGACTTGGATGAGACTCCAAGTTTTATATTCTTCTCTATGGGGTGTATACTTTTCTATGGGATTTATAGTTTTTTCTTAGGGAATCTTCTCAATGGGTTTTATAATCTTTTTTAGACTTAACACATTACATTACAGACACAGGAAGGCAAAAGATCAATTGTTCTAACAGCAAGTGCATTTTTACTCACCTTAAATCCTGAACATTTACCAGGGCTCGGTAAATACTAAGAAGAAGCTGAACATAAGCACACGCTAGACTGATAAGGTGAGAATTTATATAACTTGTGAGTAATGGTAAAAAAAGGATAGAACAAATGACTGTAACCAACTGACACACTATATGTATATCATTGAAAGAGGGTTTTACGTTTTTATGTTTTGTTTGTATGTTTGTTGTAAAAAAATAAAAACTTTGTTTAAAAAAAAGAAGCTGAACATTACAACCTCAACATTACTTTTTAGTTTTTAGCAGGTGGAAATCTAATGTAATTTCATGAGTTTGATTTTAATGAGTAATAGGTTTTGAGATACCCTTCATTTTTTTCTTATGGATAATAATAGTAAGTTTATTTTTTTAAAATCAACAGATATAATATTTAATGCCATTTGCTATCCCATGCCAGTGTTTCTCATCCTTGACCTTGTCCTCCTGAGGAACGTAGCCTCTAGCATATACTGGCTAGCACTCTAATTAAAATGTAGATTGCAGATTATTGAGTTGAAGCCTGGTGGTTTGGCGTATTCCCTAAGCATACCTTTTCTTCTCAGGAATTTTATTTTCAATTGATGATGAGGCAGCCAACTTCTTCACAAGGAACTTTTCAGACTCTGGGTTCTTTACAAGAAACTTCTCAGACTCCGAGTCAATGGAAACAACTCTGATCTAGGGGAAAAGTTCGGAAAAATGGCTCTATTGATCCATTTGTGTTTGTGTAAAAATGCAAATAGTGGTTTAGTTTCACCAGGTATCACTTCAACGGGCCTTAGAAGTTTGCATTGTTGAGTATGTGTAAAGGACTATACAGCTGCAGAAAACCAATTCAACCTCCTATGGTACAGTCTTCTACCCAGCTTCTCTTTAGTTATTTATTACATTATTACCTGATTTCTTTTCTAGGGAGACAATAATGTAATAAGCAAATAATGTAATAAGCAACATGATGTCCATTACAATATAATTGTATCCATAATAATATAATTGTTCCCACAATAATGCCATTTGCAATAAGGTGTCCATGGAACAAATGTTGCTCTAGGCACCTTCCTTGGTTCCAATCTTGTTTACTCTCCCACCTAATTTTTTTAAAAATAATTGTTTATTTTAACAAAAATATAATAGCAGGAAGTTGGAATATACAAATCTCTAATACGTTTGTTTCAGAGGTGGTATTCAGCAGGTTCTGACCAGTTCTGGAGAACCGGTAGCAGAAATTTTGAGTAGTTTGGAGAACTCACAAATACCACCTCTGACTGGAGATTTTACAGTATCCTTCCCCTGCCACACCCACCAAGCCACGCCCGCAGGTAATAAAAAAATTTGAATTCCACCACTGATTTGTTTGTAAGAATGCTTTTGGGTTCCACCAGATCTGAATGATCCTGTTCCCACAACATCCTTAATTGAGCCAATGGAAAGTAACATACTGTTGGAACACCATATAGGAATTGACTGATCTAATCCAATAACCTGCAGGCAGTCATATTTTATCCCAGTCATTCAAAGGACTAAACTAACTCCATCCAACCAGTTGTGTATGGAAATACCTAAACCCATTGCGAACTTCTTCCCAACAAAAAGAGGGGAGAGGGACAGCTGGAAAGCAGACAGTTGGAATTCAGAGAACAGAAACCTGATACCACATAACCCATGCCAATCTGCTCCTCCTGCTACCTATCTAGTGCCTGGCCAATGAAGAAGTAGGCTAGTGATGTTCATGTAGCCATGCCAATAGCCTCCTGATCCAAGACTCATGGGATGCCGAGCTCTTCCTGGAGAAAGGACATGATGTCAGCCCATTTAACCATTATACTGCATTAGGATTCCTACTTTTGTTCCATATGCACCTGCCCTGTCTGAGAATAAAGATATAAGTAAAAACAAGGGTTGCGGGAAGTTCTCCATTTAGTTTAAGTTCAAAGGAAAAGAGCAAGTCAAGGGTCAGAAACAATGTTAAGAAAGTTCCCATCACTACCAGCCATTGGCCACAAAAGAGTTTTAATTAGTTTGTATTTATCAACCTTTCCTTCCTTCCTTCCTTCCTTCCTTCCTTCCTTCCTTCCTTCCTTCCTTCC